TAGCATCAACATTGAATGCTCTTCCTTTTCTCCCTCATTAAAATTTACCTAACCTCGAAGCATCCGCCAACACCCTCCCCAAACTTACTTAACACAAAGTGTCAAAGCAATAAGGTTTTTTAAGGTTGATATTGGGTTAATGCCTTGCTTTTCCTTCACAACATGATGGGTTCCACATACAAATCATATAAGTATGAGTGAATCAAACAACTTTCATGGCATATCTACATCAAACTTATGCAACTATATCTCACTTTAGGCTTATCCCACAGTCACGACTAAGTGCAAAAGAAACAGGGTATTCAAAGCAACATAGAAATACATAAGTTAAGCAATACAATTCAAAATAGCCTAATTCTTACATGTTATAGATAATCAAACCAACTTCATCATAGGCCTTTTTGGATTTTTCAAATTTTCAATTTTTTATGGGTTTTTTTTTTTTAAGAAAGATAAACACAAAACACAAATATTCCTCTCCCCCATACTTAAAGTATACATTGCCCTCAATGTATAAAACACAAAAGACAAGACAACCAAGTGAAAAGAAAAGAAAAGAAATAAACAAAAAGAATGAAAAGAAACGACACAACCTTGGGAATGTGAAGCGGAGGACCGAATTGTTGAATAAATTGTTGCAACTACCATTCAAGCACACGACTAACTTCTTCGACTTTTGGATGTTTCATTTTCAGCACCACGGAGACCGAGTTTTGCTCGTCCAACAAACCTAATTGCAACACTAAAGTAATTTAGAAAAACAAACCTAAAAACAGATGATTAAGAAAAACCACGAAAATCTAGAAATCAAAGATCTCCGGATAATCAGAACAAAAACTTAACCATCAACTTATTAATGAAAGAAAAAGAAAAACTAAAGCAAAATAAAGAATTGGGTTGCCTCCCAATAAGCGCTTCTTTAAAGTCATGTGCCGGACTATCCGGCCGATCAATCAGTGGACGCTCAATCAAAGAGTGGGAACCCCTTTGATACATCATTCTTCTTTTGTCTCCAATCGCACCTACATCACCGATACACTTGTCGGAGGGTCATTAAAATTAGCAATAAACACATCATTTTTATTTGGCTCCTTAATGAATCTACTCTAAACACATGATGAGTAAATGCAGGGCATTTGTAATTTTCGAAAAATGAACTCCACAGATTCTTCTCCAATATGAAATTTTAAACTCCCTTTTAACATCTATAACAAGACCAATTGTGGCTAGAAATGGTCGACCTAAAATAATTGGCACATTAGCATCTTCTTCCATATCTAACACAACAAAATCAACAGGATATAAAATTTCTTCACTTTTACCAAGACATTTTCCAAAATCCCTTTCGGATGAGTTATGGACCTATCAGCTAATTGCAAAGTGATGTTAGTTGGTTTCAAATGTTTCAATCCAAGCTTTCTACAAACAGATAAAGGCATCAATGAAACACTAGCACCTAAATCACATAAAGCTTTATTAAAACAAACATCACCCATAGAGATAGGAATAGAGAAACTCCCTGGATCACTCAATTTTGGAGGCAACTTTCTCTGAATGACAGCACTACACTCCTCAGATAATGCAATTGTCTCAAAGTCTTTCACTTTTCTTCGATTTGAGATGATCTCCTTCAAGAACTTCCCATAAGCCGGAATCTGAGCTAAAGCATCTGCAAAAGGAATGTTAATATGTAATTGCCTAAAAATTTTCAAAAATTTCTCAAACAACCTATCTTGCTTAGTCATATGAAGTCTCTCGGAAAAGGCACGGTGGAACATAAGGTTTAAGCGGTGGTGGCACATATATCTTTTCTTCTTCTTGTTCCACTTTCTCCACTTTTTCTTCATTAATCGCTTACTCTCTACTTTCTTCTCGTCGGTGGTCTCATTCACTTCGGTGGTCTTTGGTTCCTCCTTGTCACCCAACCGCTTCCCACTTCTCAACATGATAGCACTACAATTTTCACGAGGGTTGATTTCGGACTTGCTTGGCGCTTGACCTTGACAACGAGTATTCATGGCGGAGGCCATTTGACTCACTTGCAACTCCAAGGTTCTATGAGCAGTTGTCAATTGATCTAATCTTGATTCTATTCTGTTAAACCGTTCAGTGTTTTCACTCAACAATTTCTCCATTCTCTCCAAACTTTCCTCCGTAGCTGTCTTAGGCGCGGATTGGTGTGACTTTGCTTGGAAACCAGGAGGGTTTTGAGGTCTTGCATTAAAGTCTTGAACCCTTGATTATTCCAAGAAAAGTTTGGATGATTTCGCCACCTGTGATTGTATGTGTTGGAGTAAGGATTGTTCGCTGCCGAGGCTTGCTGAAATTAGAGACATATTGTGCACTTGCCACTTGCATACATTCGAGCTCAAATGAGGACCGCACGTAACTCACAGACAAGTGGCATGGAAGACTGCATTAGCATTTACAAGATTACCCATCGCCTTGGTCAATGCATCCATCTTTGCGTTCATGGCACTAAGCTCATTGACTTCATACATTCCAGCAGGCTTCTTGGAAACACTTCTCGAGTTCGACCATTGATTCCTATTCTTTGCCATAATTTGAAACAATTCGTAGGCATCATCAATTGATTTATCCATTAATGAACCTCCAGTTGCAGCATCCACATTGTTTCTTGCAAAGTCCGTCAATCCTTGATAGAAAGTCTGAACTAGAGTACTTTTCTCAATACCATGGTGAGGATATTTTCTTTGCAATTCTTTGAATCTTGTCCATGCAGCATGAAATGTCTCATCATCTTCTTGAATAAACCCAGTAATTTGATTTCTCAATTTCGCGCCTTATGTGGTGGAAAGAAATTGATCAGAATTCCTTGTAAAGCTCATCCCAAGTTGTGATGGAACCAGGATCGCAAGTATTCAACCAATTCTTCGCTTCTCCCTCAATGAAAAAGGGAAAAGTCTCACCGGATTGCATCCGACGTTACACCATTTATCTTAACAAGATCACGCATCTCCAAAAAGTTATCAATATGCGCATTCGGATCCTCATTGTTAAAACCGAGAATTGATTCTCGCTGCACCATCCGGATCAATGCGGCTTGAGCTCAAAGGTATTCGCAGCAATGGTAGGCCTAGTAATACTTGACCTAGCTACATTCTCCGTAGGTGTAAAGTAATCCTCGGTGTCCGAGTGTTTACTCGTCGCCCATGGTTTCACTCGATTCTCGCTCTTTTCTTAGTTTTGCTTCCTTTCGTTCGCACGAGCTGTTCTTTCTATCTCTGGATCAAATTGCACAATCTCGAGTTAGCACTTCGCATATAAAAACAAGACAAAAATATTTAAAAGAAATCACTAAAATAGTAAGACAATAAAATAAATAAATAAATAAATAAATAAAAAAACAAATCTAAACTAATAAAAGAAAGTAATCTAAATTCGATATTAGCTGCCTTCCCTAACAACGGCGCCAAATTTGACAAGCCGTCGTCACACTAGTCAAATAATAATTACCTACTTAATACAATTACTAGTAGTAAAGTAGCAAGGTGGTCGATCCCACAGAGAAGGAATACTAATTACTGTGTATAAATTACTCCTATTATTATCTAGATAAATAATGATCTCGATTTATAAAATTTAAACCTAAAATAAAATAAAAGCAAATAATATTAATTCAAATAATCAGACAAAGAAAACCTAGGACATTGGGTTCACCTACCGAATATTTGGTATAGTTCAATTCACACATATCTGACTTTTAATTTCCATTAATCTCACAACGATTCACCTAATTAAGAACTATACACTCGTGTTATAATTCTCTTACTTATATTAACCCTATGACTACTCTCGTGACTATAGGGATGAACAAAAGCACATTAAGACCATTAAGAATCAAATATTGCAAAGGTTATAATCTTACTCTCGTAGCTTTATAACCTAAGTTTATTATTCCTACGAACTAATATTAATCTTCCACTCGCTACTTCGATTAATACCTTCAGACATGTAAATAGTGGCCAATTACTTACACGAATTAAAACAAGAATAACAAATATTAATTAATGGAAAAATCAAATAAAAATAAACCAAATAAACCAAATAAATTCGGTGGCTACACCCAAGCCCTAGATTAAAAGAATTTAGCCACTAAACATTATTAAAAATAATTCAATAATATTTAGAGACATAATAAAAGAAAAAAAAATAAATTAAATAATTTGAAACTTCAAAACCGAATGACGCCAAATCCCGCCGACGGTTGCTGCGTTGCTTCGCGGCTGCTGCGTGGCTCGCCGGTGAAGAGGCGAGGTGGTGCTCGGCTGTGGAGAAGAGGAGAAGCTGCTGCTTGTGCGTGAAGGCAATGGAGCGGGGTGCGGCGTCGGTGGTGCTGCGCGGCGGTGATGGAGGAGAAAGAAGGGCTGGTGCGTGGCGGTGATGGAGGAGGAAGAAGGTCCGTGCGTGGCTGCCTCGTGGAGTTGGAGAAGAGGAAGCAAGGTGTTGCGGTTTCGGCGGTGGGATGAAGGAGGAAGATGATGGAGATCAAGGTGGTGGTTATGGAAGCAAAGCGGCGGTGAAGATGGTGGCCGGCTGCTTCGCGTGGATGATGGAGGAAGAAGGTGATGGCCGGCTGAAAAGGAGGGAGTTCGGTGGTTTTCGGTCAAGTTTCGGTTCCGTTCGTTGTAAAAATAAATCCCTAATCCTCCTTTTATAGGCTTCCGGCTAAACCCTACTCCTTGAAGAACAAGAAAACTTGTTTCCCAATTAATATCGGGATTAAAATTCTTATCCAATTCCAATCCCAAATCGGCCGCATAACCAACGTAACCTTCGGCCAATTTTCCAAAAATTAGAATCAAATTGCAAAATTGCATGATTGGCCCTCCAATTCTCTAAACTCATTAATTTCTTCCCCATCAATTGCTCCAATGTTTAATTCTTTCCCATTGAGTTGCTTTTAATTCGATTTTAGCTCAAAACTTCAACAATTCTTCATTTGAGTACAATTCCTACAATTAAAGATAAAATCACATAAATAGCATATTTGTACTCAAAATATATTGCAAAAATCACAAATTAGGGATATAATAAATAGGTAAAATATAAGCATATCACCTCCGAAGAAACAGGGTAAAACCAATCTTCCACCCGAGAAAGAGGATATACCTCCTCCTCGAAATACCCCTGTTGCCAAAAAGCGTTTGGAGGATCAGAAACTAGCCAAGATCGAGGCTGAACTCAAGAAGTTAGGAGATGATAGCGATCAGCAACAGAGGATGCAAAGATATGTCCTCAAAGAAATCAGGCGGCGCTGTCTCCTTGGCTCTCTGTATGTACTTCAAAATGAAGAACCAATGTGTTTTGTACGCTATAATTTTAGTTCCACAAACACATAAATTTAGTTTTAGAACAGAAAGAGTGACAAGATATCGGAATAATCAATTGTAATGAAGATGCATGTATGTATACACATGATCATTTCGGTCCGCAGAGAACTGTGGTTGCTGATTGAAGAAAGGTGGCCAAGTAGAAATTCCAAAGAAAGACTAAAATACATAAACCCAAACAAACCAAGGGAACCCAGTTCGAGTAAACCGGCAAAGACCAGCTAATCGCTCCAAAGAAAGCAGCTAGTACGAAAGCAACCCCGATTTGCTCGAAGATATTTGCAGCCCTAGGGTATAAATTGCGCAGCAGAATCCCTATCAAAATAAAAGAGAACCCAAAACAGGCAAGCGAGACCAAAACATCTCTAATTACCGGCAAATGTTTTTCTACAGGGAGAACCACCAACCACCCTATCGCGCCAATCGCAACGACCACCATTACCTTCCCCATTTCCTGATCTATCATTACTTGGGCGATCGGATCACTCATCTTTATGATGTCAACTGTTCCCTAATGAGAAGAATCATTCAACAGTCAGCCACTGAACTGAAAAAAATAATAAAATGTTAAATATAAGTCCTTGTGCGTATAGGTAAAACAATATTTTGTGTCAACTCTAATTAATTGGTAGTTGACACGATCATATTATTATTATTATTATTATTATTATATATTTCCTTCGTCCCAATTTTTTTTAAAAAATTTTGTTGAAGGAAAATAGTATAATAATATAGATTAATTTTCTAAATTATAATAACATTTCGTATCAAGTTCAAATTGATTGATTACTAAGGCGATCTTTTTATTACTGTCATGTACTTATGCTCTTAATCTGGATCATATTTCATTTACACTATGAATCTCGATCCATAGTCCTCTACGTAGATCCTTTTTTTTTTTTTTCCTTTTGCAAATAACCATCAATATGTGTACCTTAAATTCTCGCAGGGTCATTAAGAAATTAATAGTCCGGAAAAGATATTCGTAATTTATTTCATTGGATAGATATAACCAAGTATTAAATGTATATATGGCACATTTCAATGTTTTAGATTCTGTTTTCAAAATCTTGCAAAATATTTCCCAAAGCTTTTAGATCCACGCAAGAAATTTCCGTCTTAATCCCTTCGTCAACACAGATTGATACTCCCTCCATCCCATAATTATTGTCCAGTTTTACTAAAATAAAAGATTTTATTTTTGGTCAAACTTAACTATATTTTACCTTAAACAACCGGATATATCCATACATAAGTAATTGTTTACCCACTAAGATTTTATGGATAATGTTTTTTACTAAGGACAAATGTGTAACTTGATCCATAAAAAGTCAAATTGGACAATAATTTTGAGACAAAATTTTTTGGGCAAAGTGGACAATAATTATGGGACGGAGGGAGTATTTTCTTTCCTTTTTTTATTATTAGTTTTTTTTTTTTTTTGAGGATAAGTATATATGAACAAAGAATCAACAACCAGGCACTAGGGCAAGTTCCACATGTACACCTAACAGACTACATACTGTATGTTGATCAACATATGCTTTATTCGATTGTATAACTTAAAAGGGGGAAAAAAACATACGCTTAATTAATTTGTTTGAGTAGATATATACGCGATATGCTTTAAACTAAACTGAAATCGACTTGGCCATTTATTCATAAATCATAATCGATCACTGAAATTATTTTACCGAATAGTAATGACTGCTAGACGCATCTACTTAGTCAGACATTGGAATGTGTTAATTAAATAGATCATAAGTGACCAGTTAGTTAGATACATTCTCAAACCCCAACATAGAGTTGATGATGACGCATGCATGTTGATGTAAGAATACGAAGAGAGATAATTTTTCATCAAATTAAGACATGATATGAATCTAGATAAGTGCTTGAAACAAGAAAGAATTATTAACAAAAAAAAAAAAAAAGGGAAAAAACCCCCTTCTTCAGTATGCTTGAAGATCAAACAAGTAACTCCTGAATTCCTTTAACCATCTGTATCTGACTTCAAAATGCTTACATATAGATTAATGTGATCAACGACATAACAAAACTGCACCAACTGGCTCATGGGTATGAAATTAAGGTTAAAGATGATGGATGATTTACTTCATATATACTATTCTTTCTTCTCAAAAATTATTGTCTAATATAAATTTTCATTTTTGATTTAGTTTGTATTAAAATTAAAAATTCAAACTGGATAATAATTTCAGGACGGAGAGAGTAATTCAGTAAAATTAAACACTCCAACCCTCTTGACCCTCATCTGCCATATGCATGAAAACGGTTTGGAATCATTATGAACGTCATGAGATTTCGAATACTAATTCTTAAGAACTTGATTGAGGGAAGGCCTAAAAGTTCACGAAAGATCAATCACCAGAATCAAAATCTGTGCAGTCGTAAGAAATAGCTCACTGCCGAACTAATTAACTCACTGCCGAAGTTGGTTTTTGGGTTGTATCAATTGCAACAACAGGAATTGAATGTGGTCCTTAGAAATAGGGCGAAGATGAACAAAAGTTACCTGTTCCTGTTGTCCTGGTTTTGCCTGTGTTTGATCAGAGATGAAAACTGACTGGCCATTGATTGATATTGAGGTTTCCGAGCTGGTGGAAACATAGTACTCGGCCGGTGGGATCTCCTCCATTATTAGCAAAATTCTTTGCGGATGGACGACTGTGGTGCGGATATAGGCTAAGTAATGAGCCTAATCACAAACAATACTATGGCTTTTTATTGACCTTCGCGGGGGCGAAACTTCCTGGAACCTGGAAAGCGTCAGGCATAATTATACGCAAGATGTGTGTAACGCTAACGTACCATAGATTGCATGATTATATTGTCTACCTATTCCTATAGACTATAGTACGTAAAGTCTACAAGAATTTTCTTTTCCTTTTTTTTTGTTACGATAAAGTCCACAAGAAAATTGACAGGCCTTAAAAAAAATGAATAATTTATGCATAGTTCAGATGCAATTAAATATTCATCGACTCTGGGTTTTTTTTTGAAAACAAAAAAATTATTATTGATAATGTAACCAATTAAGACTTTAGACCACCCAACTATATAGAGTTTTTTTTTTCCCTCAAACAATCTCATCTTTAGAGGTATTTACTTCAATAACCTAAACTCAAATCATATCCATGTAGTAATATTAACATTTCCATGTGAGACTCTATATCAATAATTATTAACTAAGTCAACTAATTAATAAACTTTCCACATTGTTTAGCGAATAAATTACTTTTAATATATACTACCTTCTTTTCATAATCTAAGTCCAATTTCTATTTTGGATTATGTTAAAATATAAATCCGCTTTGTATCCCAATACGTAATTGACCTTGTTTTTATAATGATTTTTGAGATAAGAAATAATTGACCTTATTAATTAATGTTAATGAACCTTTATCTTTGTTAATCATTAATTCTTAATATTTATACTACGCCAACTGAACTTACATTGTGAAAGGGAGTAACTGGGATCCTCTACCCAAAATTTTCCTACACAATCCTGTACAAACACCATTACGACACCTTTTAATTAAAATTTGCACCTCATAGATTTGTTGTTTTTTTGCTCCGTCTTTCAATCTATCGGCTCGAGCAAAGTAATATTTGTTGTTCTCTGTGAATACTCTATCATCGCCGTCTTCCTCATCTCATCAGTAATTCGCCGTTTTTGTCTCTCCGTTGAAGAACATGTCACCGCTCTCTTAATACATATTGGATTCGTAATCTAGTTATATTTAATACAGGAATAGGATTTTGTTTGAATAAGAAAGTGTGTTCTTGTTTTCCATTGATTTATAAACATTGTAGTTAGAAATAGAGATGAACCTTCAGCTCTGATTTGCTATGATGACAAAAAAAAAAAAAAAACTTGTATTTAGGCAACCCCCAGTCAGCTTGGCTGAAGCCGGTAACTTAGAAAATTACAATGGGATTGAATTTACTAGCTGTCAAAGAAGTGAATTGTGTAAAAAAAAAAATGGAACAAAATAAAAGAAATCTATGGGGTGCAATTGTTAATTAAACAGTGTCGTAATGATGTTTGTACATGATTGTGTATGGAAATTTTGGGTAGAAGATCCCAGCTGGAAAAGGAGACATCATTTTTCTTAGTCTCTAATTAAGAACTTCAATTAAAACAGAACAGGAATATTAATATGTGCATTATGGACAACTTTGAAACAGCCTATAGTACCTGCCATACGTAATTCAGAAATAATAAGCGTTTAACTTGATTGAAAATGGAGATAGTCTATTAATTGTGCGTTCAATTCAACTTCCGACCTCTATTTCAATATGTTTTATTTATCATAGCTACAACAATTTTTTTTCGTCCCAACATTTATGAGAGTGGCAAAGTTTTTTATATACAGCTAACTACCAATCTAACACAAACTCTTCTTCTTTATACTAGTCTGAGACAATTAGCAGTAAATTCTAGAGAACTAATGCATTTGAGAGTTTATCCTAGGCGGAGTTTTTTTATATATCATAAAAATAAAAATAAAAAATTGTAATGTGTTTTAATTGAAATCAACCCATCCTTTCCTATCGATTTTATTGCATAGAAAATAGATAATGTACTTTTAGTAAAACATAAAATTTCGTCATTCCACTGGGCTGTGCGATTTATAAGTTGTGAGGGCGACAAATGAAGCTTCATCAAGAGACTTTTGCACCTCAGGTCGATTAATTAACTGCATAAATTAATAAGAATTGTTATAATACTCCGTATTGTTCATTTACGTATATGTTTCATAGATTCAGCAGTATGGCTGACTATGCGGACAAAACAAAATTATCTATCTTATAAATCTATCACCATTTCTCCTCCACTTGCTAGCGTTTTTTGCCGGTCCTCCATACTTCCGCCATTACAATTTAATCTCCTGCCATTGCCGGCCCTCCGTTGCCTCTACCTATACTATTAATTCAATCCTTTATAACCTATGATTTGTTCTAAGCAGCGGGAAGCTCCAAGTCTAATGAAGAAGGCTTTGCTTCGTAATGGAGTAATTTTGGAGAAATAGTAAGATTGATTTCATTATGTACCAATAAAATTATGGTCGAAATCCATCTAATTTAATAGGGACTGCTCACCAGATTGAGAGAGAAAATGACATGATCTCGGATTATGCGAAAAAGAATATACAAAAATTTATTCAAGACCTGTTACGAACTTGTAATCTTGTATCTATATATTCCAAATTGCTCGTTTGCAGCAATCGACGGCAGTGATGGAAAAAAAAATTTGCGTGAAAAGGGGGATAAATTTGAGAGGTTTTATTAAAATTTGCGTGGGCAAAAATCAGGACGGGAAAAGGGGGAAGATAATGGACAAGCTTACGGGGTAGGCAAAAAGTCGAAGAATGAAATTGTATTTTTCTCCTTTTGTAGTGGTGAGGGGCGGAGTTGTATTTTTCTCCGTTTGTAGTGGTGAGGGGCGGAGGAGGGGACTGGCGGCAAGAAGTGAATAAAACTGTTTTTTGAAGATGGATAATTATGTCATTTCATCTTAAATTTTGCCATGGATGCTAAAATTTGTTTTGGCAGGATCATTACCCAAAAAAAATAGGCCTCGTAGATGCAATTTCAGCGGATTGTTTTCATAGCACGTGGTCTATATGTAATTGACTAGTTGTTCAATTTCAAAATAATCAATTATAATAAGATGTGCTGATTAGGTAACGAATTGCGTTTGCAATTAAAGTGGTGAGAATTTGGTGATGAATAAATGCGTCGATGATATTTTAAAAATGTCCTACTGTGAGATTTCAGGTTTCACTTTTTTTTTTTTTTTGGGGGAGGTTTTACTTCTTTATATGTACTTCGAGAGACAGAGAGAGAAGTGGTAATTTTCATACTGGAACGGTATACATATAAATTATAACTTTAAGAATTTGTACTGAGGTCACAAATTTAATATTTCTACATTATTGCGACACTAAAAAAAAAAACAAGTCTTGCATGCAGCTAGCTAATCTTTCAAAATCGATCTCTGCAGGAATGGAGCTTCAAATCATTAGAAGAGGCGAATTTTTTCTCATAAATTACCTATGTCAGAATTTTGTCATAGGTAATTTGCTACTACGGGCGTAAATTATGCATTATTAATAGACAAAATTCTGACAAAGGTGATTTATGCCCGTAGTAGTCCCCGGTCCCACAACAAATCGAAACAGTAACTTATGACTTTTCCAACATATAATAAGTCGAGAAACCGCTCATAATTAGTCTTAGTTCCAGCGCTCCGACTTGAATTTAATGATGTCATTTTTCCCCCTCCATGAAATGGAGGGACACTGACAGGTCGACGTATAAATTGTTGACATTTTCTGTTCTTTTTTCTTTTCTTTTTTTTTTTTTTGGATAAACAAAAATGTTGACATTTTCATATGAACGAATGTTACACATATGGACTTATATGAAAGAAGATATATGCTTCACGATTGTAGAAAATCCAAAAAAAAAAAAGAAAAGAAAAGAAAAGAAGTAAAAGTGTGATACCAACCATTAGGTGGTCGCCTTAGTGGAAAATGATGTATTGTACATTTTCTTTTTCTATACTTATGACTAATTCTGGCAATGTTAACGATAATGATAAAAACCAACTTGTTTATTTTTTCTTTTTTTCTGTTTTCCCTTTTATTTTGATATATTTTTTTACTCTGCTTGCACGGACAAGTAGTAACCATTTTTCATGGCATGTCCGACTGGCTTGTAAACTCAGGCAGTCGGAAACTTATGATTTCTGATAAAATGGATAACCAAAATGTGGATTGAGAGAATAAAGGGAAGTGTTGCCTGTATATCTTTCGCGAGATCAGCTTTACGGTCGTTACTTGGTGTTACTTTTTGTGAGTTGAAGCTATTTTGGTTTATTTTTCCTCTAGAAAAGCTTATACCTAAATAAAGGACAATCTTCATCGCATACACAACATATGTAATCGAATTTCTGCGGAATTTTGTAGGATTTTGATTTATTTTCTACTTTCTATGATTTTTATCATGTAAAAGAAAAATCAAACAAATTTAACATTTCTTTACAGTATAAATTTTTTTTTCTTCAGGTATTACACACTCTGTTTCCAAAGTCACAAACATCGGAACCCTAAATCCCGTAACAGCGATATAAGTTGAAATATATCAAAATCTTAAGGCAATCATCATACTGAACGAATTTTGCCTACATCTTTTTAAAAACCCAAGGTCAAGTTTCAGTTAAATGGATAAATGTTTTCATCTATAATCAGACAGACAAACTTTTCGTGTGTCACATTAATTGGTTGTTTACGGCCATCCAAATTTTTTTGACCACCTCGTTAATTTTTATGCTGATCATTTATTTATATTTTCAATTGTAATACTCCCTCCATTTCAAAATATAGATCGTTTTACACTTGGAGAAAAATTTTAAAATGTAAATCGTTTAAAGATTTCAAGGTAAATTAAAGATTAACTTTCCAACTTTGCCCCTAATAAATGATGCTGACCACTTTTCATCTAGTGTTAGTTATAGTTCCAAAACAATTAATGATAGGTAAAATAAATATTTAACATATAAATAAATTATTAAATGAGTTTACATGCAGAGCCTAAAATAACTTACATTTTGAAATGGAGGGGGAAATAAATAATACGCACTTTAAAACTCTAAAAAGTCAACTCAAAGTCCTACTACTAAACTATGTAAAATTGAAACCATTTTCCTTTAACTGTAATATTGCAAAACCATTATAGAACCCGTCTGCAATCTGTACGGGGAGCAA